CGAGAGTTACCAAACCTATGCTGAATTACTTATGCACATTGAATGTGCAGACAGCTAATCTCCATTTTTTTTTTCCCGGTGCAAAGTTCGCCATGTATCATTCTTTCTTTCCCCCTCTCTTTCTCTTTTCTTGAATGTGATGGTGAATTTAAGAGTAAGCGAGTGAATGAATGATGGACATTGTTTCGTGACTAGCCTCTAGAGGGTTTTGATCAGTCTATAGGCATTTCTTAATTTGCGCTGCAACCGCAAATTTGCTTCCTGACGTTTCCTTAAGGCGTGCTATACGTGAATTTTAGTGAAAAGTTAAGAAGTTTTGAAGAAGGGGCTGATAAGAAAAAAAAATTGGTTTAAACGCCACCAGAAAGATGACCCAACCGAAAGCGAAGCTCAGGTTTGAATACCAGCAGTCCCTCCTTTTAGGCGAAGTCCGTAGCGCGAGTCCCAAAAAAAATTATGAAAAAAAATTGCTGTTAGCGCGCCACTGAAACCCTTGGAGTGACACCGATGCGTCGCAGGAGTTCTATAAGAGAGGCGGTCAAAAATGTGGCCTTGGTCCGTACTAGTTACTCCAAGAGTTCCCCGCAGCGCTACCATCAATTTTTTTTTTCACCGATTTTCTTTTTTGACTTGCGCGACGGACTTCGCCGAAAAGGAGGGACTGCTCGTAGTCTAAACACAGGTAAGTAGGGACTGCTTTCCAAATTCCAATTTTTAAAACTATATCAAATCATCAGCATTTCTTATTTACCTCAATTTTACTTATCCTTTGAGAAAAATATCTCTATCTATATCTAAAAATACCCAAAAATCCTCAGAACATAGATTAGTGAAATGAGCGGACATTTTTTATTGTTTGAAGCGAGCTAAATATTTGCGCTAAGCTCATGTTAAGCGGCGTTACATTAAAGCGACCTTCGAGTGCAACCCTTTACCAACGAGCGCGACATTTAAGTTTTACCTACACGAAACGATTGTAACAAAAGGCAGCAAAATTAGTGGTGCGTTGGCCACCCTGTAAGTTGAATTGAACACGTGACGAAAGAAATGGCATCTTCGTAAATAAGTTTGTGAAAAGAAACTTTACTAAAGAAAATTTACAATGTATTCTATGTAAATTTGTAGATAGCTATAATTAGTTTTATAATTAAATCTTGCTCTTTTTCAATCAGGCCCAAGTCTTCCTTTGCCCCGATGATTTGATCTTCCATAAGGGTTTCACATTCGGTATCAAAGACTCTCATTACTCCGTCCTCGTTT